GCGTACAGTAGGTCCTCAAGGGACATCAGTCCCTGGCCGATCAGTGGGAGCCAGAACAACCCCAGGGGATGCCTGGGCCTGGCGGGCAGGCCGGGATAGCCTCGCTGATTCAGACCAGCTGGGGGAGGGGGCGCATCTGACTCCACTAAAAGCCGCAATTAGAGCCCAATTTAAAGAAACGCTGTGTTAGTTCTTCCCAGGGCAGATGTGATTACAGGCTTAGCGCTAAACTGTTACTAACGGGATGACACAGAGAGGCCCTACCAGGGCATGGCAGGAAGTCCGGCCCTGCCGCCTTGCTGTACATCTGGGGAAACCGAGGCCCGAGCAGAAGGGGACGCGCTCCGGCTCACACCGCAGGTTAGACGGGGGCCAGGACCGAGCCCTGCCTCCTGAGGGTCCCTCCGCGCTCTTCCCCACCTCTTGCTTTTCCCTGGATGAGTTATCACAGCGTCTAGAACAGCGGCTCTCAACCTGTGGGTCGCGGCCCCTTTGGCGGTCGAACGACCCTTTCACAGGGGTCGCCTAAGACCATCCTGCACATCAGATATTTACATGACGATTCATAACAGTAGCAACATTACAGTTATGAAATAGCAACGAAAATAATTTTATGGTTGGGTCACAACATGAGGAACTGTATTAAAGGGCCAGAAGGTTGAGAACCACTGGCCTAGAAGCTATAGGCACCTTGAAGGAGCGAACCTCCCTTCAAGAGGAAGGATAGAGCTGAAGCTCCGAGAAGAAGTGGGACCTGCCAGACTTGGGGGTCCCCATACTGTCCAAGTGCCCCCCAAGGAGTGCTGAGAGCATGTCTTTGGCCTGCCCCCCACCTTAGTCCCAACCAGCCTCCCTGTGTCAGAGCCTGAGGTCACCCTGCCTTAGTCCCCAACCCCTGCACCCTTGCCCAGGCAGAACTCCGGGTTGGCACTGGATCCAGGGAAGGGGAGGGAGAGGGAAAAGCTGGCCTCCTCTCTTCCTCCCCTCTGCCCCTCCCCTCCCCCTCTGCAGCTCACTTTGGGGAGCCCCTGGGTTCCCAGGGCCTTGGGAGGTAGAGTGCTGGGGCCCTCTGCTGGCCAGGTGCCCCCTCACCGCCGCAGGTGGGGAAGGTTCTTCATTGAACAAATATTTATGAAGCCTCTATCATGGGCCAGACCCTGGTTAGGCACTGGGGCTCAGCAGGAACACACACGGACCCTCCCTGCTGATGCCTATGGTCCCACCAAGGTGACTGGCGTCTCATGTCCCGTCCACGCTCCGGGGGACCGTCCCCATCCCCAGAAAACGGAAAGCTCCCTGTGGACAGGAGCTGCCTCCCACACAGATTCCGGGGGGGGGCATGGCTGTGACATGGCCACCAGGCTGAGGCCGAAGCTCTCAAACCTGCCGTTCCTGACAAACCTCCCCCTCCCTCCAGAGCCGCCCGGCCAGCGTTGCCAGATCAAACACAGGATGGCCAGTTAAACCTGAAGTCCAGATAAACAAGGAATAATTTTTATTTAAGTATGTCCCAAATATTACATGAGGTATACTTAAACTAAAAATTATTCCTTGTTTATCTGAAACTCAACCTGAACTGGGCTCCGTGTGTTTCTACTTGCTAAATCTGGCCACCCTCCCCCAGAGCTCATTCCTCCTGCTGTCACCTGGCCTGACCAGATGGCCCAGGCCGTGCCTGGACACGGCCCCTGCCTGCTCTGTCGTCGCTCCTGCTGGCCCCCAGCACCGCCGCCCTCCCCCTGCGGCCCTAGCTCCCCACCTGCCCCTACCTGGCGTGCACAATCCAGCCTACGGGCCCGTCAGGAATGCTGCCCGGCCTCCTGCCTGACAGGCCCAGAGAGAGGAGACAGAGGCTGCCGCAGAGAGGGGCTGAGAGTGTCAGAGACCGAGAGGCAGAGGCACAGAGATAAAGGGCCCCGGAGAGTGAGCGGATTGGGATGGGGGAGAGTCGAGACAGTGAGTGCCCGAGGGCCTCAGGGGCCCACCAGGGTTTGCTCTGAGCGGACTGGGGCCAAGGCTGGGCAGCCCCTGGGAGGCAGCTGGGGGTCTCCTGATTGGCGGTCAGGGGTGGGCGTCCGCCCCAGCCCCTGGCGTCCTCCCCTTGCCATGCCTCCCAGGAACAAACACAAGGACATTCATGGCGTCCCGGAAGGGCCCATGGGCAGCCAGAGTGGCTTTTAAAATTAGCCTGGCTAACCAGATCTGGTTATTTCAGGAGGCTCCATCCCTGGCTGTCCCCTTGGCAGGGCGGGTGCAGGGAGGGACCTCCACATTCCAGGGTCCCTGGTTAAGCACCCCTGTGGCCTGAGCAGCAGAGAACATCCAGGTCCCAGGCCCCTGGCACTGGGCGGGCCTGCGCCAGTGGCCTCTCTTTGGTAACGTGGCCCCAGGGCTGGCCACGGATGTCCAGGGACGACACAGAGAGGCCCCTACCAGAACCTGCTGGGCGTGGGTTCTATGCCATGTGCTCCAGAGGCCAGGCCAGCCTCCTCACAGTGTGAGGTAGGGCTTCGCCCCATTTCACAGGTGAGGATACTGAGACCTGGAGAGACAGGCTCCAGCTCTAAGGCAGAGACGGGGGTGCCAGGTTTGCCAGGCACCCAGGTCCCTCCGCGGGAGGCCTCTTGCCTCCTGCGTCAGGAGAAACCTCTGGCTGCCGTTTCCACCACCAGAGCTATTTCTAAGCAGAGTCCAGCACTTCCCGGAACCCGGTGCCCCCCGCCCAAGCCTAATTCCAGCCTCGGACAGTGTCCTGGCTCGCCCTCCCCACCTCATAACCAGGGTGAGCACGGAGCTGGCATGGGTGCAAGAGAAACAGCCCTGGACACTTTGATCCCAGAGGCCAGGCCTGTCCTCAGCCTCCCCCAGCCCCACCTTGGAGCCCAGAGGAGGGGTGGGTGGGGTGGGGGCCCCGGCGGAACCAGAGGCTGCAGACGGGACTGGCACAACCCAGGGCAGAGGCAGGTTCTGCTCTCCACGCTGCCCTGCGTCTACACAACAGACCCCAGCGCTCTGGCTCAGCTGTGGGTCAGAGCCATGGGGTGGGGCACCTCATAAAGGATACAAGTGGGTGCCCGAGCTCTTTTATAAAAGGATCACCAACCCCCCGGAAAAGCAGGAAGCTGAGGCTCAGGGAAGCACTGACAATCGTCCAGCCCCAAAGCCTCAGGTCGGACGTCTGTGCCCGGCCGGCCCCAGGTACTCCATCCTCCACGCTGAGCAGTGACCCTGCGCCCTCTGATGTGGGTTAAGGATGTGGTCCTCATTCGTGGCTCATCACCACCACACACACTATTTTTGGAGTCCACCATGGGCCAGGGCTGAACCAAGAAATTCATGAAGTATCACCTCACTGAACCCTCACATCAGGGTACCAAGGTCAGGACTGTTCGCATCCCCACTGTACAGATGAGGAAACTGAGGCCCAAAGACCCAAAGTAACAGAGCTAGAATGACCTCAGAGCCAAGCTCTTGACCTTGGTGCTGAACTGTGGCTGCTGACCCTTTGGGGTGAGATGGGAGGAGACAGGTGAGGGACTGAGACAGAGTTCTGAAGAGCCAGGACCTCGGAAGGGGTGTGAGGTTAGAGAACAGGGGTGAGGCTGAGCAGGGTTAGGGTTAGGGGGGGATCCACTGAGCCCAGGCCAGCCTAGAGCCAAACTCCAGTGGGTGGGACTGTGGGTTGGGTGTGAGTCACAGCCCCTGGGTGGCCCCAGACATCTGAGGGTCAGAGGGGGTCCCCGTCAGGAAAAGCACGGCAGCCCCTGGGGTGCATCAGCATCGTCCTGGGGAGGGTGTGGGGGCTGGTGGGGGAGGAGGGCCTAGAAGGCTGTCAGGAAGACCAGGCCACATCTGATCCCACTGGAGCCCAATCCTGTGCCTACCCCCAAGCCCAATCTTCTCCAACTCACCTCCCCCTGCCCTTCCTCCGTGCCCCTATCTCAGAAATCCGCCCCCTCCACCCAATACCCAGGCCGACCCTCGAGAGCCTCCTCACCTCCCCCTCAGCCCCACATCCCAGCAGGCCCTTCATCAGATGCTCACACCTCCTAATGCCTCCAGGGTCCCTCTGTCCCCAGCAGCCTCCTCGATCCTCCCCTCCCTGCCCTGGCACGCTCAGCCCGCCTCGTCTCCGCCAGCAGCCCTCCGTTCCCTTCACGGCACTCCCGTTTTAGGTCCTCCATGCCTCCCTGTTGCCCTCAGCACCAAGCCCTGTTCCTTGGTCTGGCATTCAAGCCCGCGTGGCTCTTCTCCATCCACCTCCCTGTCCCCTCAGTCCTTACATCCCGTCATCAGAACTGTTGGCCACCTTCCCACTCCAAGCCCCGTCTCCCTCCCTCAGGGGCACTTTCCTAAGCCTCCCCAGGGCTCAGGCACCACTGCTCCGGTCTGGTCTTCCCCGCGCCTCCCTCACCGAGGCTGGGCCCCCTGAGGCCGGCCCCTGCTCACGCACACCCCTCACTCATCACCCTTTACTGTGACTGCCCTGCACTGTGAGCTCCCCCCAAGTTGGACTGACTCAGCCCCAAGGGTCCCAGTAAGCGATCCATGGGCGCCCCCTGGTGGCCGCAAAGGGGAAATGCTTGGGCTTCAAGGAGCATGAGGAGGGGAAGTAAGTTGGTCATTGAGCGCCCACTGTGTCCTCTTGGGAGAGGTACTGTTGCTCCCCTTAAACAGAAGTGGAACCTGTGCCTCAGAGAAGCTAGAAATTCCCAGTGCCACCCAGCAAGTAGATGGTGCCAGGACTAACCTGGGTCGGTTCAATTCAAAGCTGCGTTTTCCCGTGGAGAAGGGGGCAGGGCGGAGGGAAGCGCAGCGCCATGGGGAGGAAGCCACGGCTGGTGGTTAGAGCCTTTGCTTGGCCTCAGAGGTGCCCTGGACCCAGCCGCTCTGATGGGGTCGGGGGAGGGTTGGGGGACAGGCCTTCCCTCCATCTTAGTACCAGTCAGACCTGGGGTAGATCTGAGCAGGGTTTACGCAAAGCCAGGTCCATCTCGGGGTACAATAGCGATAAATAGAATTTATTTTGTACAACTGTTACCAACATACACACAGCCACGGGGGCTTCCCAGATGGGTGTTGGGGCGGGAAGGCTGGCCTTTGACGTTGGCGCCTAAAAAGTGTGGACAGACACACACAACATGTGGACTCACAGCAGCTATGCCTGGCGGCCCCCTCCATGGGAATGGGGGGGTCGCAAAGGCGAGACCTGTAACTCCAGGCCAGCCGAGCCCACTCAGCCTGGGGCGCCCAGAACATGGGGTGGCAGAGGTGGAGCTGGGTGCCGGCTGAGGACCCAGGTGGGTTCCCTCCTGGAAGGGGGCCGCTTGTCTGTCACGTGGAGGCAGTGGACGGGGCATCGGCAGGTCTGTGGTAGCGCTTGGGGGGGGTCCAGGATGGGCAACAGGCATCGCCAGCTCCCTGCCCCTCAGCCCACCGGGGGCCCCAGAGCCCCAGGAAGCAGGACAGGGTGATGGGAGGCCCCTGGGAGGCCGGTCCCCCATTCTGGGCAGGTGCATGGAATCGCAGTCTTCAGTGACCTCTGAAGTGATCTTGTCCATTGGGAGCAGAGGTGCCAGAGACAGCCCAGAGCCGCACAGCAGAACCCAAATTAGAAGCCAGGACTCAGGACGCAGGATTCCCAACCTGGGGCTCCCTCCATCACATCTTACCCCCCCGCTGCCTGGAGGCTCTGTACGCACTGAGAGATCTCGGTCCCCCCTCTCATCTTGCCCCCCCTGAGTCGAGAGGGGCACCAAGGTGTGATGGAGGGCCCAGGCCAGGGCGAGCCAGGCCTGGAGTCTTGCTGCAACTGACCACTCCCTGTCCAGCCTGGCCCCCAGCCCGGGGGGTGAGGATGACGCCGGCAGCTTCCCCGCTCCCAGGTCTGGATGGCTCCGCCCTGCAGAGACAGCCCAGATGGTGGGCCCAGGGGAGGGTTGGGGAGACAGGGGGCAGCACACAGGCTGGTGGTGGCCTTGGGGGCAGAGGTCCTATCTGCCTGGATTTGACACAGCATCTTCACCTTGTGTTTCTTCGACCTCATCTGTAGGGTAAAGGGAGATGGAGACACCACGGAGCAGGGAGACAGGCCGCCCTCGGAGCTCCAGGCTCTGTGTCTTCCCACCCCACTGGGAGCCCCAGACCCACCCCTCCCAGCAGCTACCAAGTCCCTTTCAAGCTCCCATCAAATCCTCCCAGTAGCTCGTGGGCAGAAGTGAGGAAGCATTTGTTAGCCCCATTGCACAGATAAGGAAACTGAGGTCCAGAGAGGGCCCAATGACCTACCCAAGTCACTCAGTATCTGAGCGGCAGAGGATTCGAACCCAGACACAAAGCTCTCAGCCGAGAGAGAGGACAGAGGGACAGGGAGACATTGGCCCACTTCCTCGCCACTCCCCCCCCCCCCCCCCAAAACAGGGCTGGGGGCGGGGGGTGACCCCCC